CCACCAAACCCTCTCTGATTCAACCAAACTTTGGCCAGTTTACATGCATCTGCAAATGCACTACATAACTTTGTTTGTTTATAAAGATCATGCAGATGTTTTACATAATACATGTCTGATAAAATTGCATTATTGTATTGAGGAGTTGGTGGAAGATTTGAATTAGGAGGTTGAGGATCATCTGTTTCATGATGTGGACGAACGTTATTACGTGACGGGGATAATCTTTTTAAAGGAAAAGTTTCCGGTGAAATACTTGGCAACACTCTAATTACACAATTCAGCTTTGAAAAGTCCGTATCCAAGTGATCTAATTATAAACTTGCATTAATGATTCGTTCATAAACATTATTTTATCAGATATATAAATAATAAAGATGCAAGCTAACCTTTAGAAGGTTTAAGTATTAGAATAGGGCGACGATTGTCGCCATCAAGTGTTCCAAATTCCACATTAACGTTCAATCCTAACTTATTCTCTTGCAGTGAAGCAGCCAATACCGCAAGATAATACGACCTCTTATAAAAATATCTATAGTTCATATAATCCTTTTCCTGAAATAATGACTAAAAAAATAATCATAATGAATATAATGTTAAAGTGGATTATATAAAATATCAAATATTGACGAATTACCTGAGGTAATATAACAGCCACATCTACGTTAAAACCGTTTCTTCCAAGAGCTACAGTTTTCAGAGGATAACTCCCGACAATGTAAAAGGCACTCGGTTTCTTAAAACCAAATCTAATCTTTATATCATCTGTAGGCTGAGGATCTGGAAAAGGAATCACAACCTTATGATCTTTTAACATATTAGCCGTGGTTTCAGTAATCTGTTAAGTAAAAGCAATGAGTTTCAAAATATATTTGAAGAAAAAATTTTTTTTTAAAATAATCAATTCTAATTTACCGTAAGCTCGGGTTTATCTTTAATATTCTCAAGTATCTGCTTTAATTTATGTAAAGCGTTCTCCAAACGTGTTGTTGCGTTATAATCAAGATTTACTTCAGACAAAAGTTCATCAATCTATGTAAAAAATATCTATTAGAGTATTAATTAATAAAAATTTATTATTAAATAAAAAGTAAAATAAATCACATTTAACATACCTGAAGTTTAAATATATTGGATTTGAATAATCCAGAAATCTCTTTTAATCCCTGAATTTCTTCATTAGTTGGAGCTTTATAAATTGAAGAACTTTTAGATCCAAGCTGTTTGATATTAATTTCTATTTCACCACCATGTAATTCTTTCATGTTTTCATCGTCCATGTCAGCCTTAAGTTTTTGCAAAGGATCTAGTATCGCGGAACCATCCTCTTCATCCTCTTCATCATTTTCAACATAATCATCCTCATGATCCTCATCAATACTTTCTTCTGCTTCAATATCCATGTATTTATTAACATCCCCATCATCATCATCATCATCATCATTATCCTCCTCCTCCTCTTCATCATCATCGTCGTCATCATCGTCGTCATTGTCGTCACTCAGGTATTTTCCCAATTTTGCAGCTTCAAGTAAATCTTCATCGTCATCGCTTATCAAATCTACAGAACCTTCCTGTTCTTCCTCATTCGAAATATTTTTCTTAGAAACCTCTTCCAATTGAGGTTCCGAATTCAAACTTTTTGTAACTGATCTTTTCTTTGTCGGTGGCAATGATATATCGTCACTGTCATTATTATTATTCACTTTCGAA